GGTGTCACTTCTACCTACCTGATCTTCATCATGCCCCTTGATATACACACACTCAAAGGCCCACAAATCTTTTTTTTTTTTTAAAGATGGGAGGGGGGGCTTCCCTGGTGGCGCAGTGGTTGAGAGTCCGCCTGCCAATGCAGGGGACATGGGTTCGTGTCCCAGACCGGGAAGATCCCACATGCCGCGGAGCGGCTGGGCCCGTGAGCCATGGCTGCTGAGCCTGCGCGTCCGGAGCCTGTGCTCCGCAACGGGAGAGGCCACAGCGGTGAGAGCCCCGCGTACCGCAAAAACAAACAAAAAAAAGATGGGAGGGTATTTAAATAATGATATTTATACTTATTTTTAAAAAACACTCATTGAAATACTCTTCTGTTTCAATCTGACCATCTCTAATAAGGCAAATCCCTAAAGCCTCTTTGCCAATACCCAGGGCTTCTCAAACCATCATTTGGTAAAGGCTCACCTGGATGATCTTACATCCTCCCCAAGCCCCTAGCTCCTTGGTTAGAGGCAAGAAGTAAAGGAAACACTGATGATGAAGTTCAGGTTAATTAAGGAACATAAAAGAAATGGTAATTCCACCAGTTTGTCCCCAAGCTTTCTGTACCACCATCTTACATTATGTTTTTGGTAGGCGGAGGAGACATGTGACTCTAGGGTCCAGACCTCTCGCTCTTTTGCGAATTCCTATAGAGCAGTGGTTCTTAAAGTATAGTCAGGGGGAGAAGCAGCAGCATCCCTGGGGCATTTGTTCAAAATACAGATTCTTGGACCCTCCCCCAGACCTACTGAATCAGAAACTCTGGGGTGGGGCCCGATTATCTGTGTTTTATCAAGCTCTCCAGCTCCAGGCTGGGTTAACCACTGTGGCCACAGGTTCTGGGTAATTATAGTCACGATGTGCCTGCACCAGTCACCCCTGTCTGCGTCTGCCTCTGCCTGTGGTCTTAGGGCAGGGACCTGTCTGAATCGTCCTGGGTCCCCAGGCTTGTCATAGACTAGGAGCTCAGGTAGTGTTTGTTGATCAAATACTTCTTTCGTGGCCCCCACTTTGCCTAGCAATGTGAGCCCTTTGGTAGACTCTCAGTTGTTGATGAGTTAAGCTGATCACAAACCTCCCTTCACCAGATCCCGGGAAAAACCTCGGTCACAAGCTGCTTGCTGCCCTCTCGAGGAAGAGTGATGGATGAGCCTCTGATGGGTTCTAGGAGTCGGTCCTTGGTACTGGGAGCCGTTGGATTTGAGGCTTGGTGGGGGCTTAGAGGCCGTCAGCTTTGTACCCAGGAACCCTGGATCCTGAGGAGCCTCCTTTCATCACAGGATGCTCTGGGCATGGTCCTGCTGGGGCCTTCATCGTGGATGGGCACAGCCCCATCCCCCTTCAGATGAATAGATGGGTCTGTAGCCATGGGTGATTTTAGGCCAGTACTTTCCATTAAAAAAAAAGAGTACTTCTAATATAAAAATTTATTTTACATATTAGTTGAATAAAATATGGAAAATACATGAAAGTACAGAACACCGGTAATCCTTCTGTGAGTATTGATGTATGTTTCCATTCTCTTTTCTAAGCAGGCATATTTAGTAATTTCCTAAGGCATCAAGATGATTTTTTTCTTTATTGTTTTTATTGCCTTTATTGAGATTATTATTTTATTAATTAAGCCTCATGCATTTCTGTAAAAGCCCTGAGAAGTTTATAATATAAGCCCCCTGTGACCCTACCACTGACAAGCTGAAAGGTAAAGTGTTAAGATACATGGTTCTCTCAGTGAGAGAACCATGTCATGAAAGGGACATTTTTTTTTTTTTTTTTGGCATCACATAAAAGGCACCAAGACATGAAGCTTTTCAAACCAAAAGGACAAAAAAAAAGCAACTTTAAAAAAAAAAGAAGAAAAATCAAACTTTATTTTGCCACATGTGAGAGTACAGCTGGGCAGAATTACAAAAAGTTAATTAATGGGACATCAACTCTGATTAACTCTGAACGAGCACTGCTGTTTCAAAAAAAAAGCTTCGGGCTTCCCTGGTGGCGCAGTGGTTGAGAGTCTGCCTGCCGATGTAGGGGACACAGGTTCGTGCCCCAGTCCAGGAAGATCCCACATGCCGCGGAGCCGCTGGGCCCGTGAGCCATGGCCGCTGAGCCTGCGCGTCTGGAGCCTGTGCTCCGCAACAGGAGAGGCCACAACAGTGAGAGGCCCGCGTACCACACACACAAAAAAAAGCTTCACAGTTTGAAGTGCGGGTTACAGCAGTGGTCCCCAACCTTTTTGGCACCAGGGACCAGTTTCGTGGAAAACGATTTTTCCGTGGACCGGGGTGGGGGGTGGGGGGTGGGAAGGTTTCGGGATAATTCAAGCGCATTACATTTTTTGTGCCTTTATTCCTATTATTATATCAGCTCTACCTCACATCATCAGGCATTAGATCCCAGGGGTTGGGGATGCCTGCGTTACAGGGCAGTAATCTCCTAAAGATAATTCCTCGGGGTCCATATGCAAATTGTGACGTGTTATAGGTTTAATCCTGGCATAGAATGAAAAGTCGGTACATTTATTCATGGGAATAGAACCAAAGCTAAGCTCAGAGCTTCCCAGCAGCCAAGGCAAAATAATAATAACTAAAAAAATACGGGAAGGGCAAGGGGTCATGGAGCTCTCGAATTGCAGAAGAGGAAGCAAACCAGAATGGCACAATGCTCAAGCTTTCCTAGTGCTGACCTGGGAGAGGAGGGGTCATGGGGGACCTTGAGTAAGGATGTTGTGTAAGGGACAGTTTAACTGAAAGATGCAGGAACTGCCTGGGTTTGACCACTTCTCATACTGACTGTTGATACAGCAATGGGTGTGTCGATGAACTGTAGTTCTGGGAAGGCATAGTTTTGTAGGAGGACTAAATAACGTGGTCTAAGTGGGACACTTTCTAGTGATTTCCTTTGCTAGATTCGACAGGTGCATATTAGCTGGTGTGGCTTTTGTGTTGGGCATGTCATTGACTATCTTGATGATGTTGGAGGGAGAGAAGCTTAGTGCCATTTTACAGACGAAGAAATTGAGGCTCAGGGACACTAAGTGGCTTACCCGGGGTCACATAGTTTAATTAAGAGGCACTACCACCTTTTCCTCTTCAGCTGCCCCCTGTTAGAGAAGGGAATGGCTGAGCCTGTCCTGTGTCTGCTGTGTGTGAGGCTCAGGCTTGTTGCTTTATAAATACCACCTCATCCAATCATTACAGTAGTTCTGGGGGCATCCATAGTATTATCCCATTTTGCAGAGAGGTAGGTCATTGCCAAGGCCGCAAAGATAGTAGCGGGTGAGGAGCAGGGGATCCCAACCTGGGTTTGGTGGTGGGACTTCAGGGCGTGTAAGAAGTCAGTGGAATTGCACACAAACATTTGTTTGTATTTGCATTTTTCTGTGTGAGAGGAGAGAGGGTGGCTTTCATGGGGTCTCAAAAGACAACACGAAAACCAAAAAAGCCTGAACCTCTGAGCTCAAGGAAGGAATCATAGGAACAGCTCATACTGACTGAGCCTCACCCGCTGCCCGGCAAGGCCCGGATGACTTTGTCACTCCTGTGGGGTTCGGGCGTGTATCCCACCATCTTACAGGCCACTTAACTAGTAAGTGGCCTTGCTTGGTGACTAAATTTGGCTTCTTTTCCGCCACTGCCTCTTGTAGCTGGGTTTTTTCTAACAATTAACAGGATTTGGGGTTCTCTTTTGTGGAGCTGAGGGTTATTAAAAGGCAGAATGATACACTGAGCTTCGAGAGGTCAGTGCCTGTGTCCAGGTCACCCTGACACCTGGGAACAAGCCTGGTTCATTGGTGGTTGGTTAAATGAACAAATGAATGAGTGAGTGACTGGGAGAAAGTAGTACCACTTCCTAGTGTTCTGGGTTGCAGGACATTAATCCATCTCTGATGACTTTTATTTAGGACGACAGTCACCAAAGTGGTAGAGAGGTAGTCTGGGGGAGCTGGGGTCAGGCCTGATGTTCCGATGGCCAGGCAGGACCAGAGCGACTGTAGGAACGTCAGAGGCCAGGTCTTTCCTCCCCGGCAGGTGGTGGTGTGTGAGTGGGTGGGTGGGTGCCCCCTTGCATCGCTCCCTCCCATGGTGAGGAGCCTTGCACAGCGTGTGGCAGGCCTGTCTGCTGTCCTGGGCTGGGAGGGCGGTGCAGTCTTGCTACCCCTGGTCCCAGTATCTCTGGTGTCCCTGGCCCAGCTTAAAGCCCCCTGCTTGACCTCCTTTGGTTTCTTGCCCCCAGGGGTGTCCTTCCCCCTAAATATACTTAGAGCTGGGGCCCAGCTAAGAGTAATAGCATCAGCAGCCCCATCTTACAGCTGAGAAAACGGGCTCACACGATGGAAGTGACTTGCCCAAGGTCACAACTAGTGAGCCGTGGGCTTGGGACTTGGGTCCAGCCATGCCTCACCACATTCTCCTGTTTACATTGCCAGGAAGCCTCTGGAAGGGCAGCCACAAGCTTAGAGGCCTCATCGAAACCTTAAGGCTATTTCTCCGTCCTCTGGCTGGAGAGCTGGCTCTGGCCCAGCTGGGTCATGGCTGAGGTTTCCTTTTCTATTTAGAGCGACGAGCCTTCTTGACCGCCCTGCAGGCACTGTGTCTGCCTCTGCTGAGCTTGGTTGGAGGGACTTTACAACAAGCAGGGGCCGGGAGCCCGGAGCTGGAGGAGATGCTGGGAGTGCCTTAAATTTTGTGTCACTTTCAGCCTTCCCCACCCACCTCTATCAGCACTTTAAAAAACAGAGAAAGCATCTTCTCATATATGATAGGAGCCTAGAGTGGGGCAGGAAGTGTGAAGATGGGAGTGGACCAGAGAGGGAGGGCCTGTGTCAACACCCACGGCACTTTTTACTCTAATTGCCCTTTTCCATCCGCCGCGCTGGGCTGGGAGCCTCTTGAAGGCCTGGATCTGGTGGCTCTCCCAGGCGTCTGCTCATTGTTACTTTGCCTTGTATTTTCTGCAGATCATGATCGAGTTCTGTCCTGGGGGAGCTGTGGACGCCATCATGCTGGGTGAGTTTTTTGCTCTTTGGTTTTTTTCTTGGCGCGGCATGCGGGATCTTAGCTCCCCGACCAGGGATCAAACCTCTGCCCCCTGCGGTTGAAGGGTGAAGTCCTAACCACTGGCCCACCAGGGAAGCCCCCTGGGTGAGTCTTCCTTCATGCAGTGCAGTGGTCCTGGTGTTGGCGCTGCTTAGGACTGGTGTCCATCACTCCTCTGCCCCAGTAATGCCCGTGGCCTGTTTGAGTACCTCCCCACTCTGTCCCATTTTGGGAGCAGGGGCTGGGTTACTGGAGAGGATGCAGGACACTTGGAAGACCAACACTTCCCGTTCAAAAAGCCACATGACCTTGAGCGGGTCATTCTCTCCTTCAAGCCCTCGGCATAAGACAGGTGTGGTGCCCCCTTGCCGGACCCCACGGTACTCTTAGGAGGTGAAAATGAGACACCTGAGGGAGGTTCTTTGTAAGGTGGGGATCCCCACCCATTCTATGAGAGCTCAGTGGGGAAGTTGTTGATCCAGGCAAGCTTGAGCAGTAACAAAAAATATATATTAGTAATCACCTCTGTTTTTTGAATGGCCACTATATGCCAGAGATTGTGGTAGCTGCTTTCATGTATATTATCCTCATGTATAAAATCAAGAGCATCTCTGTTTTATTGACCAGACTGATGCTTAGAGAGGTTAAGGAGCTCGCCCAGAGTCACACAGCAGAGCTGAGATGTGAACCCAGGCCTGGGGGATGCTGTTCCTACTTGCTGCCCACCCTGCATTATCCTTTGCTTTTGCCAGCCTGGTGAGCAGTGAGTGAGGAGAGGTTGAGAGTCTTGGGCCCAGAAGGTCGAATAACATGTCCGGGATTCTGGGGCAGTTCGGGAGAGGAGAGGCCCTCAGTATAACATAGCACCATTCAGCCACATTTTTATTGTGAAGAGGGTGTTTTCTCCCTCAGTTTATCTCAGGAATGTCTCAAATTTATGGCAGCCCTTTCCCATCCTGAGCTATAGAATGCTGGCCTTCCTTGCAGAGCCTCTTGCCACTCCCAGAGTTCCCAGGTGGGTAAATGACAGTGGGGAACAGGATACGGGCACTTGTGATGTGGCCCTTGGGTGTGCCTTCTCCCAGCAGAGATTGCCTTTGAAGATTTTCATTGTTTTGGGTAGAATCTGACAACGTAAAAATGATGGTCTTGTGTGAGTTGAGGTGCTCTAGGTTATAAGAGCTATTCAGACTGGTTTAGAGAAAAAAAAAAAAAAGTTAGGGGATGTGGGAGGGAGAATTTATTTGCACTAATAACTGAAAAGTTTAAGGGTGTCAGGCTTCAGGCACAGCTTGAGCTAAGGGTTTTAAAAACATTGTTGTAAGAACTTGGTTTCCTTCTCCAACTCCTGGCCCTACTTTCCTCTGTGTTGGCCCCATTCTCATGCTGATTTTCTGTTCTTGGTGACAAGATGGCTGTGGGAGCTCCAGCCATCACATCAGAATTCCAAATAGCAGGATAGAAGAAGGAAGGGTAGGACAGGTCCACAGAAACACATCCCACTGCCACTCTTTTAAGATGCCGCAGAAGCCCGACATGACACCTCCATTTTCCTCTCACTGGCTGGAAGATAATAACACATAGCTGTAAGGGAGGCTGAGAAATGTGGTCTTCTGGCTGGTTGGCCCTATGTTTGGATATTTAAAAAAGAGGGGAGAATGGGAACCAACTAGCAGCCTGCCTCTCCCGGTTTAGCTGAATGAGACCTAGGGGAGGATATCAGAGAGGGAAGAGGCACGGATGAGTCCCAGGTCCTTGAGCTCATTCACAGCTGGGGCATCACCCCAGGCTATTGCTCAGCCAGCAGGCAAACTCACCCTGGGCTCTCTGTCTCACGTCTCCTGGAGGAACCGACTGCTCCAGCCCCAAGTGGTTTGCTCCTTTTTGGTGGCAGCAGTTAAAGGAAAAGTGCCATCACCATTTTAGAAATCAAGGTGGGAGAAGAGAAGCTGGGACAAGGAGAGCCAGGTTCTGGCTGCAGCTCTGTGGTCAGGGGTGGACTGTCCCGCAGATGACCGCCCTGCTCAGAGGGCCTTTCTGCCCTAGGTTGCCTCCCATCGCCTTGCAGAGTTGTACAAAGTGATGAGCCTGGGCTCGGGGTCCAGGCTTCCTGAGGTCCATCCCAGGTTCCTTGGCTTGGTAGCTGTGGGGTCCTGGGCTGGCTCCTTTACGGCATGGGAAGAACATGCACGTGGCACATCACCACATGGCCATCTTAGTTTGTTCTGATCCTGTTGGCCACGCCTTGCTAAACATTTTGGCTCTCAGCCCTCCTGAGAACAGTAGGGTGAGGGGCAGGTCTGGATGTGGTTTCAAAGGGGACTTAGACTCATCTGCAATAGACTCATCTGCAATGTTGCAGCTTCTTTTATTAAGAAGAAAGTATTCATGTATTGCTGTGTAATCAAAAATTCATCTTAAAAATTTATCATACTGTGTGATTCCAATTATATGCCTTTCTAGAAAAAGATGAAACTATTGGGACAGGAATCAAATTAGTGATTGCTTTGGGGCTGGAATGGGGGTGAAAGGGGCACAGGGGAATTTTGGGGAATGATAGAAATATGTATTTTATTAATAGTGGTGCTGTTTTTGTGAGTACATACATTTGCCAAAGTTCATAGAACTCTATACCCCCAAAAAGGTGAATATTACTGTATGTAAATTATATCTCAATAAACTGGACTTTAAAAATGTGTCTTATCTATCTCCCTCACTGGATTATTGTAAAGATTAAATGAAATAATGTACCCAAATCCTTATCCCTGTGCCTAGTACATTGTAAAGGCTCCAAAAATGGTGGCGTTGAGATCATGATCATCACATCATCACTTTGATTTTTCCTGTTTCATTTATGTAAGTAAATCACACATGAGCCAGGCTCATTTTTGACATTTAAAAAATTTGCTGCAGGGCTTCCCTGGTGGCACAGTGGTTGAGAGTCCGCCTGCCAATGCAGGGGACACGGGTCCGTGCCCCGGTCCGGGAAGACCCCACGGGCCGCGGAGCGGCTGGGCCCGTGAGCCATGGCCGCTGATCCTGCG